AGAGAGAGAGGGGGAGGGAGGGAGAGGGGGGCGGTGTAAGTATGTGTTTATAGCTTGACAGTGCACTGTCTTCAAAATTCGCTCCCGCAGAATGACAAAGTTCTATCTGACAGTTTTGGCCGGTTTGAGATTACTGAGACCGTGAGGTCAGAAACCAAATGTTCCATCTGCTCTACCAAAATAGTTAAGATTATTGAGAGTCGTTATCAAGATATTCCAAGAATCGCATTCGAAAAAGCTTGACATGTTGGGAAACTCAAAATTTTTAGTAGTAGTATTGTTTTTATTATTATTATTATTGTTATTATTATTATTATTACTATTATCACAATTGGTCGCTTTTAAGGACAAGCGGGCTAACCCAGATTTCGGGGGGTGACCAGATATCTTGATCTAAACTAAAAGTGGGCATTTCCCTACCTATAGGAGAAGTTTGGTTTCATCGGTGTGTATATTTGTTTGGTTATAGAGAAAACTCTTCTTGTCAATGTCATTTAAAGAAACTGAACAAGGGGCAAAAACGTTACCTTCGATTTTCTGAAAACGTCATTTTTCGGGATAGCCCTCCCGCTTGTGCTTAATAGCGACCAATTATTATCATCAGTATTATCATTATTATAATAATAACCGTTCCCGCCATATCTCCGTCTGGTCAGACACCAACGAGTGCCTGGAGCCGGCACAGAACGAGTGCACACACAGCTGTGTCAACACACGGGGCTCCTACCTGTGTACCTGTCCTCTGGGCTTCCGCCTGCTCAAAGACCAGCGGACGTGTCAAGGTAGGTGGCTTTGTGTTCTCTGTGTCCTTCCTATCTGTGTCATTGTCCTGTGTCATTGTCCTCTGTCACTGTCCTTCCTATCTGTGTCATTGTCCTGTGCCATTGTCCTCTGTCACTGTCCTTCCTATCTGTGTCATTGTCATTCCTATCTGTGTCATTGTCCTGTGTCATTGTCCTGTGTCATTGTCCTGTGTCATTGTCCTTCCTATCTGTGTCATTGTCCTGTGTCATTGTCCTGTATTTTTGTACTTCCTATCTGTGTCATTGTCCTCTGTCATTGTCCTCTGTCATTGTCCTTCCTATCTGTGTCATTCTCCTCTGTCATTGTCCTTCCTATCTGTGTCATTGTCCTGTGTCATTGTCCTGTATTTTTGTACTTCCTATCTGTGTCATTGTCCTCTGTCATTGTCCTCTGTCATTGTCCTTCCTATCTGTGTCATTCTCCTCTGTCATTGTCCTTCCTATCTGTGTCATTGTCCTGTGTCATTGTCCTGTGTCATTGTCCTGTGTCATTGTCCTGTGTCATTGTCCTTCCTATCTGTGTCATTGTCCTGTGTCATTGTCCTGTATTTTTGTACTTCCTATCTGTGTCATTGTCCTCTGTCATTGTCCTCTGTCATTGTCCTTCCTATCTGTGTCATTCTCCTCTGTCATTGTCCTTCCTATCTGTGTCATTGTCCTGTGTCATTGTCCTGTGTCATTGTCCTGTGTCATTGTCCTCTGTCATTGTCCTGTGTCATTGTCCTGTATCATTGTCCTGTGTCATTGTCATGTGTCATTGTCCTGTGTCATTGTCCTCTCTTATCGCAGATGTATCTATGAAGTTGATGATTTAGTATAAATTATATTTCAATTATTACGCCTGGGCGCAGAATATACATACCCGCACGCCCTCAAGCACTCCAAACTACGAACACTCCAAAGTAATATGCAAACAAATACACAAACACACACTCACACACACTCACACACACTCACACACACATACACACGACATGAGGGTGGTTGACGGGTACTCTGGTGTGGTTTGCTCCTTCTTTCCTATCAAACATCTATTATCCTTATATCTCTCCTCATTCTTCTTGGTGTTTATCAATCTCTTGTAACACCTCCAATCTTCGGCGCGTAAGGCCTAAATGTGCTGCAAGTGCCGTAAAAACCTTACAGAAATCTGTTTATTACGCTTTTGTTCTGTCTGTCACCGATAGATGAGGAGGGTGGTGAACAGGTGTGTTTATAATACACTTTTCTTTCTCATCTTTCACTCGTTCCTCTACTCATTACTGTACAGTGCTGAATGTGCCTTAAAACTCTCACAAAACAAAACAAAACAGAGAATTTCTGGTACGGCTTGTCACTGGAAGAAAGGAGAGTTTGGAAGTCACTTTATGTCATCTAGTGGTTATTTGTTATTTCCACTATGTTGTAAGTAAGTAATTAAGTAAGTGCGTAAGATCTAGTTCCTCTATATCTACCACACAAGGGCTGTATCATGTATACTGCTGTAAGATCTACTTCCTCTATGTTTACCACACACTGTATCATGTATACTGCTGTAAGATCTACTTCCTCTATGTCTACTACACAAAGCTGTATCATGTATACTGCTCTAGGATGGTCTCTCGGAAAAGGCCCCCACATTCTCTTCTACCTTTATCTACCAGAATGTGACTCATTCCACTGGGGCGAGGACTGCAGGAATCAGTGTAACTGTTTCGTCCCGGGAACTGCTCGCTGTGACGCCGTCACAGGATGTGTATGCCATGACGGCTGGAGGGGCGTGACGTGTGACCGTGACGTGGACGAATGCTCCGCCTCTGTGCCTGTGTGCCCCGTGTCGGCGGAGTGTCGGAACAGCTACGGGGGCTACACGTGTGTGTGCAGGGAGGGCTATACAGCACAGGCGGGGGGTGGGGGCGGGCTCAGCTGTGAGGGTGAGTGGTGGTTGTTGGTGATGTTGTTGTTGTTGTTGTTGTTGTTGTTGTGTGTGTACTGTTGATCTATTGCTGATTGTATCTTGCTGGGTATGTATTTTTCTTTATCTATTGCTCTTTTCCGTTGTTGATTAAGGGGAAAGTTTTTGCCCCTTGTTCAGTTTCTTTAAGAGACCAGGAGAGTTTTCTATAACTGGACATTTAATCTACACACCAAACTTCTCCTATAGGTAGGGTAATGTCCAGTTTTGGTGTAGGTCAAGATTTCTGGAAACCCCCGAAATCTGGGTTAGGGTAGAACTATATTAAAACGCCTGACAGCGACAGTCAGACAGACACGCCGTTCTCCGCCGGGTGCGGCCGACCATATTAACCGGAGTTAGGCGGTCAGACACCGGAGTTAGGCGGTCAGTCACCGGAGATTGGCGGTCAGTCACCGGAGATTGGCGGTCAGTCACCGGAGATTGGCGGTCAGACACCGGAGTTAGGCGGTCAGTCACCGCCGTCTTGCAAATATGGCGGGTGGTAGAAGAAGAACATTGTTGTTGTTGTTGCTTTTGGGAGGCAG